TCAGGACTCCACAAAGGATATGGGATATAATAATTTTCAGGAAATGCAGTAATCCGTATAATTTATGTTCATTTTAATTGGACTATTTTTTTAGGATAAATGATCCACTCCAAAACTTTGCTAAATTCGCAGAAGCCTTTCATTGTAAACCAGGAACTCCCATTAACCCAGAGAACAAGTGCTCCTTGTGGTGATCAAATCTGGTGTCCAATTGTTTTGCCGCCTATGTGGACCACAAAACTTGTTGCATGCAACAGCAACAAAGATTCTTAGGACTGTATACATATTGGAATGTAGATGCTAGTACTTTGCAAGACGACGAGGCTTCGATTCTATCTAAGACCTAAATGTTGAAGAAAGATGATTAGGAAACTGAGGTTTGAGTGTACATATAAATTTAAAGACCCAGTTTTTTAAAAAGCTTTAAACCTCAGCATAAACACTGTCGCATAATAATCAAATGTTGTAAGTAGCATAACTAATTTACTTGCTTTGTCCTTAATGGGGTCAACACCCGGGGGGGGGTACTGAACAAATTTTTATACTGGGAGGCTCCGCCCCAAGGTCCAACCCCTTACCCTTTTATATAACATTTTTCACGAGAAAGGTACCCTTTTCGTATATCTTCTATTGACAAATGGTACCCCTTTCACATACTTTGTTTAGAACTTTGCATCCTTTTTAAGTGCTGTAAATACACTGCCGTTTAAATAGGAATCAATCACAAAAATAGAACGTTTGCTCAACTTTATAAAGCCATAAGGCAGACACAAATCACAGATTTCCCTGCCCTTTCGTATACTTCAACGAGTAAAATCCCTACCCTTTCCTATACCTGAAGCCTTAAAGAGGCACCCCTTTCGGGAGGAGCTTTCCCCCCAGGGGGGTCTATAACTGTTTGTCCACAATTATTCAAAACCAAAGTTCTCTAAAGCCAGGGTGAAACGAATGTTTTTCATGAGACAAATGTACTGTTCCAATTAGTGATAATCATGGCACATTTTTCTTATCCTGTCACAATTTGTGAAAACCCATTGCACTTTCTAATACCTATTACAGTAAGCAATAAGCCGTTTCGCTCTTATGGAGGCTGAAATTTGTAGTAAGTGTCCATTGCACTTTGCAATAAACTAAGTAGCAGTAATTTATGATATAATTCCAGCGCAGTCGGTAAGAAACGTTTTGAGACTGTTCCAGTTTATAACTGATTCGACATGCATCTAGGGTGGGCACATGCCAAAACCGTTTCTTAAAGGTCACGTGACTGACTGTGTCGTTGTTTTCGTGAGAGAAAAACTAGAAGGAGACAAGTTTGGCCAGTAGTGTGATAGAGACTTCCAAAACTTGGGTCAGTTTTTTTTTTTTTCATTTCAGAGTGCAACGTGGCTTATTACTTATCACAGTTGTTATAACGTGCAATCTGAATGACTGTAAAGGAAAAAAAAAATGAGACGTTTTAACTAACGCACTGTTAATGAGTAAGAACCGGTTTGCCCATCAGCATTAGGTTGGTCACTTTTAAAGGTTAAAACGTAATAAATTAGCGATAATTAATTACTTTGCATCATTTTAGCTACAAACTATACTTTTATTGTTGAAAGAAGTTTTCACTCAAAAACGGCCTCGTATGACGTAATATCTCGTAACCATAGTAGCTGACCATCACTAAACTCTTATCGTCTAGAAAGAAAAATCAGAAAAACCTCAGAGGGCTGGCCCCCGCTCCTTGTACGTCCGAGGGATAAAATATCGACTAACAAATCTTAAATGATAGAAACTCCTAAAAAAGCTAGCTCTTCTTTTCTAGTAACACTCAGCTTTAAGTCAACGAATACAAACCAGTTGCACTGTCCCACATCGCGTCCACTTCGTATACGCTATCAACAACGATCCCCTGTTTATAATATCCTAATTATCTACAAGTTAGCTAGAACAATCTGCTATTATTGCTGTGGTAAATTTAAATGCATTTCAACCCTTGGACGTACAAGGGGTTGGGGTTGGTGGTCGCCACCCAGTTCTCTCATCCCTCTCCTTAAGCTTTTTTCTGAGTTTTCCTAGAGGGTAAAACATCAGCACCTGAGCCCAGCTGTGATAGTCAGTTTCTATAGTCACGAGATATAACGTAATAAGTAGAAGGTGGTGAAGCCATTGTTTGTTTAAAACCTTTTTCAACAATAAAATGAAATCTTGTGGCTAAAATCATACAAAGTGCTTATTTATGTGTTATTGTTCATGTCAAGCACAAAAATGTCGCCATTTCTCTCGGTTTTAACCTGATTTCTAAATATTAGTAAAATCCAAGGTGGCGACCATTGTTGGTGACGTCACAGGTCTCCAGCAGCGCCACCACCCACAAAATATACCTCATCTTGTTAAGAAGATCAAAGGCTTTCCACTGGAAGTAAAATCGTTTTGAAATACTGCAACATATTAAAAACTCTGGGGAAGGGTTCCATTCACCCCTCCTCCTCCCTTGTACCACGGTGGGGGTATGGATTTGCGTGTACGTCCGTGTAGAAGGGGCGGACATTAAGAAAGCTGAATAACTGCTTTAATTCTCTTAAGATTAAAAATATCGTGTATCTTCTAGTTCTATTGAAAATTTCAAACAGTTTAGATGCATTTTAAAGACATTTCTGAACATGGCGTCCAAACTCGTTAACTAGTATGAGTGACAAGACGAGACGCCTGGCTTGTCTGGATTTAAACAGAAATTTCAAATATAGAAGAATAATAAATGATGATAATGGCGATAATAATTCATGTGATGCATTGCCAGCCCCCCTGGTTTAACAGAAACTTCAAATTGGCTGTAAACAATCAAAATATATATATTCCTTTAATCGGAATATTAGGTCAATAAAGGCCCATAAACTGAACTTGCGCCTTTGTTCGTTTGAAAGAAGTGTTGAAGGCAAACCGAAAAAGGCCACTTCGCTTGTAGCAATAGAACATGTTCTCGCCAGTTGAAAAAGAAAAGCGAGTCAAATCAAACGAGTGATCAATAAAATCGCCTCAACCTTTGAATCAACTAGCTAAATTAAAAACAAAAAGTTTTTTAATTGTCTATAAATGTTAAAAAATTTAATTGCCACATACTAGAGCTATTGAAATATCAATTATATGTGAGAACATCTGAACAATCAACGCTCCTGTGACTGTTATGTCAAGTAGTACAAAAAAGTCATAAAATAACGGCTGGAAGGTACCAAGAGATGATAAATAATGGAGCTTCCAGAATTTAAAGATAGCGGTTATTTTTCTGTTTATTGCTGTCGTAGAGAGCCCATCGGAAAACGCTAACAAAAAGGGAAAAAAAAAACAACAACAACACACAAACGCGGGCTCAAAGACGTGCATCTCTGAAGACACTTAATGTTGTCAATGGTTTTTCCGTGTTTTGACCATTCTCTTTCTTTATGGCATTTCTCTTAACACCTTGCGATAATACTTATTACAGGGGGTGATGTTAATCAAGATACCGTTTCTATTTTGTTATGAGACGGTCGCACACGCGGGCCCGGCTTAGTATGGAATGGCCATGGTAATTCTTACAAAGGTTCCAAGCCTTCATAACACTAAAAAATGGAAAATGCACATCACAATAAATTGATTTTTGTTGTTTTGATTAACATTTTCCAAGGTATTTTAGTTTTAACGTTATATTTTTTACTTTGGAAGATAATTGAACAAGAATTATTTGGTTGCTTCTGGCTCCACTGCTCTTTCATAACGTCTGCGGAAAACATCTCTAATAATAATATTGAAATCAATAAAATCGAAAATTGAGCTAGCAGAATATTTTTTCATTAACTGGCACTCGCGCGCGTGTAAATTACGCATGCCTGACAAATCTAGCTGGAAATGGATCTGATGCAGACGGCTGTTTGATTCAGTTTTCAAATAACCAGTTCGTGTTCACCTTTTAGGATTTGTAGAGTTATCATACTTTAAAAAAGGAAGCAGATCATCACGAGGCAAAATTTTTTTTCATCAATAATACCGCGACGTAAAATTAAAATTGCCGCCCACCCGGCTTGGACTTTGAACACTGCAGTACCGTACTTTGAAATAAAAATTACCGCAAAACCGCATTACCCCAAACCCTTGCGATCCGCTCTTGTTTCTGTGTCTTGTCGCCAAGAATTTCCCCATATTGGCCTCGAAATCATGCTAAGAACTATCTCGACAAAGCGCCGTAGGGGAATAAGGAACTTGCTTATTGCCACAGATTGTTTATACATTGATGGACCCATTATAGAGAGAAGGTCAACTATAAGCTTTGATTTCTAAATCTATCTTTATTTACAGAAGGCCTATTTAGAAGAAAATCAAAGCGAGGTTATTATTTTTTTTCGCCACTCATATTCTTCTTACAGTAGTAAGTTTGTAAGACATATCTAGTAGCAGGAAGATCTCAGCTGCAAGCTGGTTATAGTTTTTCTAAGGCGATCTCCTCTTTATGAGTACAATAAATTCTATGAAAATTGCATCAATGACGCTGGCTTAATTAAATTAAATAACATATAGCAATATGGATAACTGGTAGGTTAATATAGGTTAATAATATAGGTTACCGGGTATCGTATACAATAAAAGGTAGCGTTACAAAGTATATCATTTAGTTACCTTTCAGTGGGAAACTATTTTTAGCGTCTCTTTCTTAACGCTTACATAATGACAACAGAGCTTTTTTAAACTCTGGAATTCTGATACTGTACACAATGGGATTTACAAGGGAGTTTGCATGAAGTAAAACAAGCAATGCATTTTTTAAACGGATAGGTTGAAAGGGAGATAAAAAGGAATATAAACTCGGGGTTGAACAGGCAACACAAAAATATATATTATATGGCAGCCACAACGCTAAAGATACCAAAGTTGTTACTAACAATGTCACAGTAAGTTTTCTTTGTCTTAAACTAGCTGCAGCAACGCGCTGAGGATGGGCTCTACAACGAAACTTTAAGAAAATAAGTGTGTAAGAAACGAAGATACTAAAGAGACAGAAACAACAATATATTGGAAACGAAAAATAATACTGAGACCAGGTAGATTGGTAATTGGAGAATCGCTTGTACAATACCAGGTAAAACCCAGATAGCAGCAATTGCTAAGAAGTAGACCCATGTTTTGGTGACACGATGTCTAAATGGAAAGAAAGTGGCGTGAAATCGCTCTAAAGAAATCACAGCAATGTTTGTCAGGGAGACGAGAGGGAAGAAATAACTGCCAGCTAAAAGTAAACTTTGTACTTGCGAAGAATAATCGATTTGTACGAAGTTACAAGCCATCAGAGAATGGACTTGTGCAACACTTCCGGAAAATACTCCAACAAACAGGTCAGCCACGGTCAAATGTATAACCAGGTACAATGTACGAGTGCGAAGATTGTTGTTCTTTATAAAAATGACGATGGTAAAAAGGTTCACTGTCACTATAGCAACAGACTCGGTTAGGAATAGAACCAGCCAGGTGATGCACTCGGTAGAAGACAACATCTTGAATCCTGGTTGGTCTTGGTCGGTTTTAGCCAGAAACTGTCGAAACAATTTCTTTGATAAGTTCATTATCATTAGGGGAAGGGAGCGCAACTTGACCTTGTCTTAGATCAGCTGTCAGATTGATATTAAAGTAAACATTTTTACATGCATATCTGCAATTCAGTGTCTGTACATTGTTTGTGTGTGTGTGTGTGCTGCAGTGAGGAGGAAGGCTAGCTCACTCAATTAGATCAAAACTCTTTTGAAAATACTATTAATTCATAAACGCTCTGATCAAGTGAACAAAATAACATCTCTGACAAACAAGTAGACAAACTAGGATCTCTTAGACAAAGGAGGGGTATTAAAATGATTTCCTCTGCTAATTAAGTTTTTAAACAGTTTTGAGATTTGATCACCTGTGTCTAGATGCTCAAGACATCGAGACACTAACTTCATAATTTCAAATTTACTATCTCTACGAAGACAGTAGACAAAACACATCCGCATTTTTCAGATTCCAAAATTGCCTTTAGACTCTTTTCTATACCTTTTTGTTTCCCAAAAATGAAGTGACGTTTTGAGAGCATAAAGTAAGATTAAATGCGCGTTGGACAGATGATAAAACTGAAAGCTGCATCAAAATTTAGACTAAATATAAAGCACTTTAAGGCAGAGTTGAGGTCATGATGATAGCATAACAAGTACTCTTTGTGAGTCAAAATTTGTTTTTCGTTATACATACCGGTAATGCAAATGTTGTCGACGGACGGAGAAGCTGTTTTTCACAACCATACACTGGACTACTAAAATCCACTGGGTAAATCTTTCTTAAATATTCTCTCGTAATGCTAAGACAAATAAAGGCTATACACCTTAGCAATATAAGTTGGACCTTACAAAAGCAATACACATTCACGTTATATAATAGCACTTTAAGGCAGAGTTGAGGTCATGATGATAGCATAACAAGTACTCTGATATAACTGATATACGGCCGGCATGCTAGTACACAAGAATATCATAAATCGTCATTAATAACCTATTTATATCCCTCTACAGAAAAACCAACTGAGAAATAGATTCACGAGTTCAAAAAGTTATTCACCATAACAACAACGTGTTAAATTATTGTTCATTGAAATTCAGATCTCAGTACTAAAGATATAAAGTCCAACACATAAGATACAGAACCGCGGGGCAACCATTGAATAGACCTTTTTACGGTGGCCATATTTTTTGGGATGCCCAGGGAGGCACTGGAGCACATTCCGATATATTTGCTTAGTATTAACGTGCGCCTTTCAGGGCATTTTCTCTTAAAGTTTTCCTACAGTATGAACAATAAGATTGTAATGGGAATAAAAGATAGTTGTGCCGTGTTTGGATGTAATAATGATCGCCTTTTTCCCGAGAAATACACAGTGATTTACCATATTTTCAATACTAAGCGAGTACAACGGATCTTGCTCATGCCCCGTTGGGCATTCCATAATACTCCTTAAATCGAATTAATTCAATATGGCCGCCGTATCGGTAAAAAGGTCTATTGTGACATCATTTGTTAAAAACATGATTAAAAAGCTATTGAGTGGTAGAGGTTATTAATTACAGAATTAAAAACAAACTGAATGAAATGAGCAAAAAATCAAGGGCGAAGGCCAGGTGGCTTTAATCCCCTCTAGTAGGAAGTGAAAACCTGAAAACAAACTGAGAAAAAATATTCGGTTAACCAACCGTTCAAAATGTGATATAAGGCAGGGTCGCTCGAACAGAAATCTCGTGCTTTTCCCGTGTGCGTTTTTCTTATCTCCCGAAAATGTTGACAATGACAATGGCTTTAACCCCATCAACAAAACCACCGGTTCCTTTTAATTTCAGACGTTTATTACTTGTCGAAGAATAAGTATGTGTAATCAAATGGTGACTAGTGAAATTAGGGAATAATTTCACGCGCGTTTTGTCTAAATCCTAATAATTTCCCTCGTCTAAAGGCTCGGGAAATTATTAGGATTTGGACAAAACGCAAGTGAAATTATTCCCTAATTTCACGAGTATACCACTTGATTACCTATTAATATCATAGGTGACGAATTACGTTAGCAATCTTGGATTTTTGACATGTTTATCCTGGATCGTATCGATCGAGAACTCCACTCTATGAAATGTTTATACCTTAAATTTGGCTTCTAAAGTTCAGAATTTTTCAGACTTCTTTGGCAAAATACCCGTTAGAATCCTTCTTGATGTTCTCTTGTGTGTTCAGGTTTTCTAAAGCGTCTTTTTGTGTCCTGGCATCTTCATTCTCGGCATTTTAAAACTTTGTCGCCATCTTGACACTGAGACATAGGGAAGGGTTGCCAGGGCAATTTCACATGTGAAATTACAAATTAACGCTGAAATTTCGCGCCAAAATTAAGGAGTAATTCGTCACCTATGATATTAGCCAGATAATATTGATTAGTCAATATTGCTACTTCACATAATTACAAGATCTAGGTCATTGAACAATTATAGTGAAATCTGAATCATGTTTATTTTCATGCCTATGGTCACCAAGGTAAAACCAAATTTTTTAAAGATCGGTACTGGCTAGTCAAATAATAGTATTGGCTTCTCAAAATTGTATTTTTAGGTCAGTAGTATACAGTGAACAGTGTAGTGATGTGATCTATTAGGCCCAGTTCAGACGCCGAACTTTTCATGAGCCGAACCTAATATATTGAATTAAGTACATGTAATGAAAAGTTCGGCGTCGGAATCACGTAGGAACGCCTATTTTAATTTGCAACGGCTCAGCCGTTCTTCCCGCCTAGCCCGGCCGGAAATTTCGATTGTGGAACGACTTTGGAACGGCTTTAATTCAGACTCGAAAATTTTTATGTGCCTAATCTAATACACAAATTATGATAACATTATTTTGAAGCAGTTTGACCAAAATGAGCATTTTTCTCCTTTTGAATATAGTTCGGCTGGGATTAAGATCGGCGTCTGAATCAATTCAGCCGATCTAAATAGTTTGGGTCATCTCCTTGGTCGGCCTTAATTCGAGTTAGCTTCGGCTCATGAAAAGTACGGCGTCTGAATCGGGCCTTACCCGGCATATCGGACAATGTTGATGCTCGAGATTGCTTTAATTTCTCAAAACCAAACCTGCTAACAACATTAACTTTTAACGAGATAAGTCTATTCAATTACTATCTGATAACGTTCCTGTGATTAAATATCAATTTCTGTGTACACAGAATCGGCGTTTTAAGAGTGCATGTTTAAATTTATATCTAAGTCACCGATGGCACAACAGTGTAATTAGTTCTTGGATTAGTCGCCGGTATTCAGGTCATTTTATTTACTTCTATAATAAAGGATAAGAGAATAACACTATGCACTATGCACTAGAAAGACAATGCATTCATTTAGTGACGCAAGCCGTAAACACAAGCACGAGGGCAAACACACGTCACCCCATGTAAGGGAATCCGGTTTCCGGAATCTGGCAAATTTTTGCTTGTGGAATCCGGAATCCCACTAACGATTAGATTCCAGAGACCAAAAATCCACTGACAAAGGCTGGAAACCAGTACTGGGAATCCGGGATCCAGAATCCAAGACTGTCCTGGATTCTTTGACATGGGGCGAGACACAGATGCCATTTAACGTGAAAACGGCCTGAACCAACACACTTAAAATTAAAGTGTAACATTACTCCAAAAAAAAGTGTAAAATCTTTGCCAGCCCCGGCAGCCTTTTTTTTCTGTGTATTATTACACATTTTATAATAGTGTAATTTAACACACAACTAGAGGTTATGTTTACACACCAATCAGTGTAATGTGAGTGGTTTACACTTTGGTCAAGTGCAAAATTGCAGTTCTTATAAGTGTAATAAAATACTAATAGAACAGTAATATTACACCAAATGATAGTGTAGTAGCTTTGCCAGCCCCGGCAGCCTTTTTTTTCTGTGTATTATTACACATTGTCCAATAGTGTAATTTGACACGCAACCAGAAGGTTCATTTACACACCAAACAGTGTAACTGTGAATGGTTTACACCTTGGTCAAGTGTAAAATTGCACTTCCCATAGGGGTAATAAAACATTAACAGAAAAGTAATATTACATCAATTTATAGTATTAGGCAAAAAAATTACGCATTTGAAAAATATAGGAAATCACATTTTTAATCACTGAAAAAGCAGCTAGACTTCTAACAATAAGTAAAAATGAAAGGTCAAGTGTGCAAGCCATGGTGTGTACTGTCTGACTGCTTAGGAGTGATGTGTACTGTCCTATCACAAATCAGTGCTTAGGGCAGAGCCCGAGGAGGTTCAAGGTTTGAGCTGCAAGGTGGTACCCGGGAAAGATAGTTAGCAGGAAGTCTTCCTCTCCAATTATTAGTATTTTTACAGTCATGGTGTAATGCCTTTCCCACAGTAAAAATGGATGGCGGTGCATCTTTTTTGCTTCTTCTAGATATTGTCCTCTTGTGGCTGCAACCTGCGTGACAAATGAAATTGAAAAAAAAAAAAACAAGACTTGTTTTAGTCGATATTAAAGTGTTCTTAATTTATTGTATCGGTCATGAGGGTTGAAAATAGGACTGAGTGTTTTGGAGTTCCTTCTAATTGAACTAACACAATAATGCTCTCTTGAACAACATGGTTAAGGTAAACTACTTAAATTAAATTTCATTCAGAAAATAATTACATATTAGGTTTAAGATGCAAAAAGGTTTTTTCTCTAGAGTCTTAACAATCAAGTACATTTTTCCTCCTCTACAAAACAAAACACAGCTTCAGATATTCAATTCAGATATCAAATCACAACTTAAAATAACTCAAAACATGTGTTATTCCAATCCATGACCCCCAGTAACACTATAGGCGGGCCAAACCACCTGACTGAGTCATTAGTCAAAGGCGGGCATGAAAATTACCACCTTGCATAACTGCCTAGCCGGTGGACCAGAGCCATGATGAAAACAAAACACACTATTAGACTTTATAACTTGGTAT